TAGTCTTCCTGACTCCAAGCTCTGAGCACTCTACCCACTGCGCCACCTAGCTGCCCACATTGTTATTATTGTTCTCATTTTACAGATGAGGAAACTGAGGCAAGCAGAAATTAAGTGACTTGCCCAGGGTCACACAAATATTAAGTGTCAGAGGCCAAATTTGAATTTAGGTCTTCCTGACTTGATGACCAGAGCTCTATCCTTTATCTCTGATCTGGAGAGGGACTTTCAATTCTCTGTTCAGCTCAACAAATCTTTTAATATACTGCAGCTACAACTTCATCTCATATTTTTGTATGCACTGCAACTGAATGATTGTAAAGGTCCAAAAGAAGTCCACTAATTCTCTATTCTATGGCAAATATCTGGCATTATTCCAGGAGCACTAATAAATAGATTAGGCTTTTTCGGGGGCTTGTTCTCTCTCATGTCAGGATAGACTATTCAGTTCTACATGCATTCTTTCCAGGGTCCCTGTATCAGGACCCAGACTTCCTCAGTGGGGCATTATGTATGGAAGGTATATGGCAAGTAGCTGTACTCCCAACCTGAGAACCTCCAAGCATAACTCCATAGCCATAGCTCAGAAGGAATCATTGATTGTTTTAAACTGTCAGGCCAGTGTTCATGAGTGAAGTTATCATGTATGGTCCATGGTTGGTGATTCAAGAAAATTCTGGACCTCAGAGCATGATGCTCTGTGGCATTGGTGTATCCCAGCCTGTTAGACAATCTTACTTATTAATGCAAAGGAAAGTTCTCATGTGATTGCCTAGTATAAGTCAAACATTGGTTAAGTGCTTACTTTGGGTCAGGAATAATTCTGAATACAAAGGAAAGCAAAAACTGTTTCTGCCTTCAAGAACCTTATAATCTAATGGGGGAGACAATGGGTAAACAACTATGTTCAGACAAGACATTTACAGGATAATTTGGAGATAATCTCAGAGGGAAGGTACTGGTATTAAAGTGGACCAGGAACAGCTTTTTACGGAAGGTGAGATTTTAGCTGAGACCTGAAGGAACCCAGGAGGAAGAGATAAAGAAGAAGATTACTCCAGGCATGGCGGACAGCCAATGCATAGACAGTTGGGAGTCTTAAACAAGAACAGCAAAGAGACCAGTGTCGTTAAGAATGTTGGAAAGGTAGGTAGAGGCCAGGCTAAGAAGGGCATTGAATGCCAAACAGAGGATTTTATATTTAATCATAGAGGCAATAGGGAGCCACTGGAGTTTATTGAAGGGGGGTGAAGAACGTGGTCAAAACTGTGTTTCAAGGAAGGTCTCTTGGACAGCTGAGTGAAGGATTGATTAGAATGGGGAGAGATCTGAGGCAGAGAGGTAGAAATGATGTGGAGCTCTCCCAGCCTTCTCTGGAGCTGATATATAAAGCTCCTGTTTTTTCTAATCACAATCAACCGGTAATCTCTTTTAGTCCCTCATGTACATCCCAGACTGAAACTGCCATGTTGGCTTCATGATACAGGTGGCCAATTTAATCTTGCTTACTTTTCCTAGGCAGTAAGAACATTCAGGTGCTAATCAAGTCTCTCTAGTGTAGTGGAGTGACATGGACATCAGACAAGATTGATTATAGGACAAATGTAATTTACCTTACTATAGGCCAAATATGAGAATTGGTTTACTATCAGCTAAGGCGGGGCTACTCTCAGAGAGAAGCCAGAGTCTGAACCCAGAAAGATAAGAGAATAGAAAGTGACTGGGTAGATTTTAGAACAACATCAGCCAAGCTTGAAACTAGAAGTGATGGATATTCAGTTGCTATGGAGGAATGAACCTAGGGACTAGAATCATATTTATCTCATCGAAATAAAGAAGTTTTTTTTTCATTAAGTCAAAGAAAGCAATGTGACAAGGTGTGAAGACATCAACATGAATCCACCAAAAACTACTGGGAAAACAAGTTTAAGCATATACACTCCTAACAATTGATTAGAAGTTTAATTGCCATTTACAAAAGACAACATATACAGGTAGAAAAAAAAATCAAGTTCCTGAGTTATATCAGTCAGAAAGCTGACCTCTTTGAGCAATGAAACTATTAGGGAATCACAGATATGGTGACTTTTTAAAAATCCTAACAATCTACCTTCTTTCCCAGTTTTAAATTTAAAGATGTTCGTATCTTGTCCAGATCACCAGTACTAGGAAACGTGGCTAAATCCTGTTACCTTACAAAATGCAGCAATATCATTATTTGGTCCTCAGTGGTAGGGATTTGTGAATTTGTATATCACAGACATTTTGTATGCTAGTACACACGCTTTAAAAAAATGCCTTCTTAAAGAATATGTTTGTGGTCACCGAGATAGGAAGAGAGTGGCAGGCAAAGGGACAGAACCATACATGCATCTGGATGTTCCAAAATAGAATTTATACATCTCAGCTTTCCCAGCTACACATTTCACAGCTCCTTTTAGAAAGTCATTCATCAGGAATTAATGTATGATCTTTTTGTCCTTGAGATGGTAGACATACTAACAGAAGGTACATGCTCTGTGACTAATATGGAAATATGTTTTGCATCACTGCACATATGTAACCTGTGTCAAATTGCCTTCTCAATGGGGGGGAAGAGAGGAGGAAGGAGGGAAGGAAGGAGGGAGGGAGAGAATTTGGAACTAAAAGTTTTAAGAAGCAAATGCCAAAAAGTATTTTTTCATGTAATTGGGGGAAAATAAAAATTTAATTTTTAAAAAATTTTTTAAATTTATTCTGATTTATTAAACAATTTTTTTAAAAAAGAAGGTACATGCTCTGGAGTGACAAGTCCTCTTCTTTGGAGTAGAGGAGAAAATAATTAGTACATCGCTTTGTCCTTTTGCCTTGAACTCTATGGGCACAGTGGTATTTACGTTGGTACACAAGAGCTGGGTATTGAAGATCCTATCTCCCAGCAGTGTTTAGTGGTTAATAGCAAATCTGGTTATAAAGCCTTCCAGCAGTTCCCTTTGTGATTGCTTTGGAGTCTTTTTTAGCAGTAAGGTAAACTTCAATTCATCTTAAAACCATATATAGTCCAACAAAGATACCATCACCTAGATGTTATAATGATGAATGTGTTTTATTTTATGTTTTGTTTTTGTTTTTGTTTTTTTTGGTTAGGCAATGGGGTTAAGTAGCTTGCCCGGGGTCACACAGCTAGTAAGTGTTATGTGTCTGAGGCCGGATTTGAACTCAGGTCTCCTGACTCCAGGGCCAGTGCTCTATCCACTGTGCCCCCTAGCTGCCCCATTGTTTTATTTTAATAAAGTAAACTTGTATATTTATCAAAAGAAAAGGACTTACCGTGTATGCTGCTCTCTTTGTTTTGGTTTTTGTTTTCGAACATCACATCCCTTGCTGATGAGGCAAGTATAATAATATTGTTGGGTTATTAAAGAAAAATTTCAGCCGGGACTGAAGCAACAACCAATTAACATAAAATTGTCTCCCCCTTTGTTCAATTATGCCATAACACAGGATTAAGATTAGGAAGGTGTAAATGAGCTAGCCTGGTAGAAGAATAAAGTCTTCTTGACTAGCTAATAAAAGCTGTGGGAGAAGTTAGATAAAGTCATCATGGTTCTCTTTGAAAGGTTAGAGATCACCCATCTTGGCCATAGAGTCAGTCCAGATCTTTTTTTTACATTTTCTGGCCCTCCTGGCTTTGGATAGTACTGCTGAAAACCCCCCTGCTTGGACTTAGCTTCATGAATCTGCAGAAACAAAGATGCCAGAGTTTGTTCATACCCTGCATGTTTTAGCCTCCTGAACCACTCTCTTTCTTCCTTTTTTTTTTTGAAGGTAGTCGGGGTTAAGTGACTTGCCTAGGGTCACACAGCTAGTAAGAGTCTGAGGCTGGATTTGAACCCAGCTATTGCTGACACTAGGCCCAGTGCTCTATCTATGTAGCTGCCCCAACCAGTCTCTTTCAAACACGTTTCACACTCACTTGGGCAGAGGCCTCCCAAAACTTCATATGTTGGAATGTTTCACATCAATAAGGAGTCTGCCAGCAGAAATAACAGAGAATGAAATGAGGCAGTTACAAACAAGCAAGATCTGAATAGACTACAACTATATGGTTTTAGTTTTCAAAGGAGTAATCACCAAATTTATTACAGTGTAGTTCATTTTCTGATAACTTACAAAATATCCTCAGTCCTTGCGAATTGACTGCTTTCAAACTATGTTTTCTAATAGCACTTCCAACTTCCTGACATCTGCTGCACTGTTTACTAACCCCAAATTAACTGATGAATGATACACCTTGGAATACTTTCGTAGTGAGAGGAGCAATATTGGCTGTGTCTTCAAGATAATTGTCCCTGCAATTGTAATAGTATAAATCAACCACAGCATTCAGATCGAGGAGGATATAACTTATCTTACATGCATCATACCAGATAACGGATCCCTAAATTACAGTACTTCTATACGGTATTTTCCAAAATTGTAATGCAAGAGACTTATAACCACAGCACTGACATAAAAAAAAATCACAGACTTAAAACATTGAATGTAAAACAAAACTTATTGTCACAATAATACTAATCTAATTGAATGCCTCTCCAAATTGTAACTGAAAAACATCACATTTGGCTATCAACTTTGGCATTCTATGCTACTACATTCAGAAATCAGCTTAGAGTTAGTTATCACTTTTAATGTACAAACATATGGCATCAGCAATTACTAAGTAAAGCACAGATCAACTGTTTGTGAATGATGATTGTCCCTAAAAGGGCAAGTCCAGTGTATAGAGCTCTGGGCTTGGAATAAGGAAGACTCATCTTCCTGAGTTCAAATCTCGCCTCAGAAACTAGCTGTGTGACCTTGAGCAAGTCACTTAACACTGTTTGCCTCAGTTCCTCATCTGTAAAAATTAACTAGAGAAGGAAATAGCAAACCACTTCAGTGTCTTTGCTAAGAAAACTCCAAATGGGGTCACAAAGAGTCAGACACGACTAAAATGATTCAACAACAATAACTGTCCCTAAATAATTTATTAATGTTCTACAAATTCAAATTTTTTATTTAGTTGTAAAGTTTGTTACATTAATCCAAATACTTTTCCAAAGGTACAAGAATACCATTCTCTGTGAAGTTAAGCTGGAGAGTCATCAGAAATCTCAAAATGAACTCCCATCTCTTTGGGAAGGAAGACAAGCACCCCTCCAAGTGGCATTCACAGCTCCACAGGCACTGGCAATCTCTGTCTTGCTCTTCTCTTATCTCGATGAGGTCTTTAAAAAAAAACAAACAAACCCAAAACTTCCTTAAAATTTCACTTCTACTTTCTGCATTTCCTGGGCTTTTCTTTTTCACCCTTTTTTACTTGGACTGTGCTAGAGATTATTATGATAGCTGGCAAAAAATGTGAAGACCTTATATCAGTCCCTGTTTAAGTGACAAGTCTTTAATTCTATTTTTTTTTATTGTTGGTGCAGCAGAAATTGAAGCCACTTACCTGAGCTCTAGATGAGTTAATACTACCATATGCAGAATCATATTTTTTAAAATGTTCTACTTTCAAGCACATCGTTATATATTTCTTATTTTTGACCTTCAAGTCTGTGTGGTCAGGGGAAACTGGCTTAAAAACTTGGTTTTTTCCCTTTTTTTTTTTTTGATGATTTTGATGAACCTAGGCTAATTACTGCAGATCACAGAATTGCCTTCTGCTTCATACTGACTTAATATTTTGCTTTCCTCTTTGCTTTCTAATACTGTTCATTTCTCAAACTTATGCTTTTCTGCCTTTTTCAAATCTTGTTTCAGATTGTGTTTTTCAGAACTAGTTTCTTTTTCTCCATTGAAACTTTCTTCTCTTGCAAACTAAACACACCTTCCTTCTGCATCTCAGATCCACCCCCATACTCAGCCTTTAGGCGATCTGAGGTGAAACAGCTAAATTTACTGCAGTTTCTTCCTGGTGGCCATGTAAAACATTTGCCATTTGGTTTTTTCATTAAGAATTTGAAAATACATGATTTATTCTAATTTCTTTTAGGAGATTTTGCTTCTAATTGACTAGACAATTCTGCCAGATCATCAGAGAAGCTCACTGTGGTCTGGCAAATCAAACCCTTTGTAGAAAATGAAATTCTGCCTTTTTTTTTTCCATCAAAAAAAAATATTTTGCTTGTCTTTCCCTGAGGCAATTCCTTTTCTCAAAGTGATTTAAAGCCAGCCTCCTTCTCTCTAAATTAAAGAGGACAAAAACTACATAGCAGTGTCCTTAAGCTTCAGATAAATCTAGGAGCTATTAGAAGCTACAAACTGTAAATTGCAAAAAGGATTTAGAGGCATTTTCTTTTTCTTGACTTTCGGAGTTACTAGTCTGCAAATAGCTGGCTCTCAAGACCTTCCTGGCTGCCCCACTCTTGGGTTCTTTCCTGCTTGTATCAACTTTCTGGATGGGCCTCCCAGTTTGCCAGGTCTGTAACCCCTGTCCCATATTATTGTAGGCCATGCCTGAGTCAGGCCAGACTGGTGGTTCAGGTTCAGGATAGGATCTAAATGACACACGTATAGACCAACTAATAGCTAATAAAAGGAAATTTACTTAGCTCTAACGTGGAGAAAAGCAAGAATACAGTGTTGATTCATTTAAGCAAAGCTTCCCTGACCTTTGTGTGGCCCATGGTCTTCTGGTCAAAAGTCTGAAAGAGTAGCCCCTAACTACTCATGGGCTGGCTTTAGTACTGAGTGGTTTTAGCTTCAGTCCTCTGAGCCCATTCAGTCTCCAGTCAATAAAAAACCATTTAAGCGCCTGCTATATATCAAGTACTGTGCCCACCAGAGAGACAAACAAAGACATAAATATCCCTGTCCTCAAGGAGCTTGCAATCTAATAGAGGAAGACAGCACAAGAAGAAGCTGAACAGGGAGGTGTGGGGTGGGGAAGGTTACCCTGCTGGGGTTAGGAGTGGGGTAGATAGCCAGGTTAGGAAATGATCTGAGGATGTGAGAATTTCAGATTTGATTTCACCTTGCAGAATGATGACTTTCTGGAGATCTTGAAGTCCAAGAAAGTAGTAGGGGAGGAAATGATGAGGTAAATCCTCTGGGCACCCTTCATAAATTGTGGAGGATCTGGGAGGAGTTCTCTAGTGTTCACTCTCCATCTTCTTCAGTCAGGAGGGGAGAGACCTCAGGAGCAAGGGATGAGCATTTACACCTCAGAAATCATCAAATCCTACAAATCAGTGCTTGCTTTCTTGTTTCACTGATTATCTTAGACTTAAGCAGGTGATGGGAAAAGTACATTTTCTGGGCCCTCACTGCCTGAAGATCAGGTCAGTTAGTACCTTTAATGGAATTGGGGAGTGTCTAGACCCTCTGCAAAGGCCACATCCGCACTGATGGTGACCCCTCAATAGTAGTCCCCTTTACCCTCATTCCATTTAGCTACCAACAGTAAGATTAGCATTTACACAGAAATACTTTCTTCAAAAGGTATAATCACAAATATACAATGAACAATAAAACATATAACACTCCCCTGGAAGGGGTGAATGAATATGGAAGATAACGAAGGTCAGAAATCTGAAACTTCATCTTCTCCCTTTTGTAATGACCAAATCCTGGGCCAGCGCCCAGGCCTGGACCTCCCCATACGATGGCTGATGGCAAATATTCACAGTTCACAGAGAATGGCACCTCTAGCTAAGAACCAACTGGCTGTACATTTATGGCTTCTGGACTTATGTCTCTAATCCTGACTTTAAACTCTCAGTTCTAACATGAAAATGTGTCTTGCATGACTGCACATGTATAATCTATATCAAATTACTTCTCAATGAGGAGGGGCAGGGAAGAAGGAAGAGAGAGAATTTGGAACACAAAAAAAAATTTTTAAATGAATGTTAAAAATTGTTTTACATGTATTTGGGGAAAAAATAAAATAATAAACTAAAATAATAACAATAATAATAATAAACTAAAAAAAATCCCTCTCAGTCCTGTATTTCTAGCATTAGAGTTAGTTACATATACATATATATAATGTAGGCACCCAGTTATTTACACGTTCTTTCCTATATTAGAAAATGAGTTCTTTGAGGTCAGGGACTGTGTTTCTGTTTGGGGCGGGAAAAGACTGGGGTAAAAAGGATACTAAGATGACCAGGTCTGCTTTTGAACTATTTGTGGGAAGAGGTTATGCTGAGAGTCAGAGAAATCTTACCTTCTTGATAGAACAGTCCAGGGGTCTGTGAGTCAACTATTATTCTGCTATTTTAATGTGAGCATTTACACCTCAGAAATCAGCAAATGCTACAAATCAGGACTTGGTTTTTTGTTTCATTGATTGGCTACTTAAAGAAAATGATAGAGAAAATATGAGTAATTCAGATTAACTTTAGAAGTGTGTTTTTCAGAAAGTCAGCAAGACCCTGGCTCAGAGAACATGAATATGGGGACACGTCAGGTCAGACAGCATAAGACAGGGTCTAATGCTTTCTTTTTCATAAAATCATACCATTTTGAGCAGATAGGGACCTTAGATCATCTAGTCTCGGTGGCAAAGGTCTGTGTGGACTTTCCCCATAACCCCTCCCTTTCAGGAAGATGCATGTGGTGATTTTCACTTTTCTCAGCTCCGCTTTACAATTTCCTTTCCACATGGCGACTTTCCCCACTGAAGTCTCCATATGTCGAGGGTCGGCATAAGAAGTTAAATGGAAATTTTTGGGGAGTTTTGTGGAAGCCCCAGATGACAGAAAAAGTTTAAAAACTCAGAAACGCATAAAATATATGTATAGTATTATATGACATCAACATATTTTATCTTTTAATATCATGATTCGGACTTCTTCTCTGGTACAGAGAGGGGCAAAAAATTTTAAGTGGATTTTCCAGATCTTGGGGGTGCTACACCCCTAACCCCTGAGATGTGGAAGGCATAACTGTAATTATCTTTTTGCTTAATGAAACTGAACTTCAAAGGTTAGGTGACCTTTTCAAAGTCAATCAGCTAGTGAGGCCAAATTTGAGTTCAAGAGACTTTGCCCACCCAGACTGGCTTAGTAGTGAGACACCCAGTGTAGCCATCCACAATGGTGAATGTTCTTTGCAGTTGTTGTTGGAAGGTGGGGGGAGGGACCGCATTTCCTGGATGGCCTCAATAAACAAAAGACGTGTTTGGATTAGGCCTTGACAGCTGGGTGGATAATATACTCAATATCCGTCATAGTTAGCCACTTGAGCTGGCTAGTTCATTGCTCCATATTCTTTGATAGGAGTTTTCTTGGGCTTCTTGCCCGCCTTACTAAACAGCTGGCTTTTACATCCAGCTGTTTGACTGCTTTAAAAAGGGAAATTATTTGGGTCAGGGGAACTTCAGATTACCAACAAAAGAGACACACAGAATAAATCCCTTGTTTGTGGCTCTGCTTGGGGACAAGCACACAAGCGACTGAATTGAGGCCATCTGTAGTGATCCTTAATAAGTGGCTGAAAGGGTGATTGGGAGGTTAAGCCCTATTTAAATTGAATCTAATCCAGTTAAGCAAATTTGAAAGCACAGGCTCCTCCTGGGCTCGGAATTCTGTTTTATATGGGGCTTCCTGTGCTGGCCCTGTGGGTGAGATGAGGTGATCAGTACGTAGTAGTGGCAAAAGCACTAGACTTGGAATCAGAAAGAGCGGAGTTCAGATCCTGCTATAGACAACCTATTAATTGTATGATCCATGGTAAGTCACTTAACCCCCCGTGCCTCAGTTTCCTTAACTGTAAGAAGAGGGGGCTGGAATATTGTGCAATTATCAACTCTGACAGACTTAGGTCTTCTCAGCAATACAGTGATCCAAGGCAATTCCAACGACTCATGATAGAAAATGCTGCCCACATCCAGAGAAAGAACTGTGGACCCTGAACACAGATCAAAGTATACTTTTTTCACTTTCTTTATATTTTGTAGTTTTCTTTTCCTTTTACAGACTGAATTTTTTTTTGCAAACTTTCTTATTTCACAACATGACTAATATGGAAATGTTTTATATGCTCACACATATATAACCTATATCAATGCTTACCATTTCAGGAAGGGGGGGAGGGGAGGGAGGGAGAAAATCTGGAAATTTTAAAAGAAATGAATGTTAAAAATTGTCATTACATGTAATTAGAAAAAATAAAATACTATTTAAAAAAAGAAGAGGGGGCTGGAATTGATGGCCTTGAAGAGCCTTTCTAATCTAAATCTTTGATCCTATTACCGAGTTCACTGGTGGCTAAAACTCTCTTACAGGCACATTCTATGCAAGGTTGCCCCAGTCAACACTGTTTAATAACATTTTTTTGTCCTGGCCTCTGATTTTATTTTTTAAAAATATAATATTTTATTTTCCCCCAATTACATGTTAAAACAATTTTAAAATATTTTTTTTAAGTTTTGAGTTCCAAATTCTATGATTTCATTTTCATGTAGGAATTCACAGTGAGGGAATTTTCTTTACCAATTCAAATCAGCACTCACTTTGCAATTTATAGTTCTAGATTGCTGTTTGGGGGCAATAATAGGTAAGTCAGCACAGCTGGTGCATGCTAACATCATTTTAAAAACAGCATTACTAATAAGATACATTATGATTGAACCCCACTGTCTAGTTTCAAAACACTTCTGTAACCGCGTTTGGCTGATCACCTGTTGTTTTCCCTATAAGTTGAATTCACTGGCTTTCTAGAGACCAATTAACACATTAGCCAGGGTGTGCTAGTGATTTCAGAAGGCAGAAAGAAACTTAGCAGCTTCTGTCAGGCCTTCAAACAAATTTTTCTATAAAAGGTGTGGCAGGTCGGGGAGGTAAAAGGGGATGAGGATGGCAAGGGATCGTAGCACCATGGATTTAGTGTTGGAAAGGAAGCCATCTAGTCAAATCTTCTCATTTTATAGACAAAGAAACAAACCCAGGGATGTGAAGTGGCTTGTCAGAGGGTCAAACAGGTAGTAAGGGTTAGAGGCAAAATTTGAACCCAGATTGTCCTACTTTTGATCAACCAGCATCAGGGTATTTAGTACATCCTTCATTCCCTGTTGAAAAAAAGCTAGCTATAAGGTACAAGAAAACTAGAAAAGTTGGAAGGGGCTAGGTTTTGAAGAATTTTAAATGTCAAACAGAAGAGTTTATAATTTGTTCCTGTTCGTAATACGGTGCTATTGGAGTTTATTCAACAGGGGTATATGTGATCAGACTTGTACTTTAGAAAAATCACTTTGGTGACTGCAGAGGATGGCTGGGAAGAGGGGGAGACTCGAGGCAGGACAACCAATTAGGAGGCGTTTCTAACAGTCCAGGTCAGAGGTGATGAGGGCCTGATGTAGGGTGATGGCCACATGAGTACAGAGAAGGGAACAGATGGTAGAGGTGTCGTGGTGGCAGATTTGGTAACTGATTGGATATGTGGGGTTGAGTGAGAGTGAGGTGTTGAAGATGATACCAAGGTTGTGAGTCTGGGTACCTAGAAATTGAGATGGGGGAGGAGAAGATAATAAGTTCTGTTTAGGTCAAGTAGAATTGAGATGCTCATGGAACATTCAGTTCAAAATGTGCAATAGGTAGTTGGTGATATGGGACTAGAGTTCAGAAAGAGAGAGCAGGGTTAGATGTTTAGATGTGGAAGTCATTAGCAGAGATGATAATTACATCTATGGGTACAGATCATCAAAGTCATCAAATGAGAGAGTATCAAGAGAAGAGAAGAAGGTCCTGGGACAGAGCCTTGAGGTACCTCCACAGTTAGGGAAATATGGTAGGGAGGTTGATTCAGCAAAGGAGACTGAGGAATGGGAGGAAAATCAAGAGAAATTGGTATTACAAAAACCCGGAGAGGAGAGAGTACCCAGAGGAAGAAAGCAGTCAACACTGTCGAATGCTGGAGAGAAGTTACTTGATAAAAATTGATTTTAAAAACTGGATAGATTTGGCCATTAAGAAGTCATTGACAACTTTGGAGAAAGCAGTTTTAGTTGAGTGAATAAGGGGTGAAGCCAGAGTACAGAGGGGTGAGAAAAGAGAAAGTGATTCTAGACAAGTTTTTCCAAGAATTTGTCTGTAAAAGAGACATGAGAAATAGGACAATAGCTTGAGGGGATGGCAGGGTCTAGTGAGGAGTTTTTAAGGATCAGAGAGACTTGGGAGTGTTTGTAGGTG